ACATCAATCTTTCAGCAATATATCACAGAGCATCATGACCAACCCATACTGTGGGTGTCGCTCCACTCTGGCTGGGTGCATTTGGTTGTGGTTCACAGCTCCTGCTGCCTCTTGGGAGAGCTCTTATCACACCTTTAAGGGACAGGAACAGAGCACACACTCAGGCACCAGTCACAGGAAGAGCTTGGTGCACTTCGCAGCAACGCACAAAGGCACATCTCACTAAAATATTTACTTAAGACTTCTCTTCTGGTGGAGTCACAGCATTACAAATAGGAAAGCAAAGCAACATTAAGCTGATTTATCCCCCCGCTTCCAAAGAAGAGCCCCACATAGTTGCAGACAAGTATGCACATGTCCCCTGGATATTCTCAGCCCCCAAAGATTCCAGCCTGACCTGCCTGGCTTGCTCTGGACCACTCGGCATGTGATAGCAGCCGTGCACATTTGGCAGAGACATTTTTAGAAACTTCCAAGCTATGAATTCACCCTTCCATTTTGGTAAAGCCAGTTATGTGGAAAGCATTTCAAAAGCAGAACTTCAACTACACACCACGTTTCTACTCAAGTCTTAGGGGGAAGGGAAATTACACTCTTGTTTTCCCACAGAGAGTTATCCTGTAATATTTCTGTATTTGCTGATGTTATCACCAATAACCAAATAATTACAAGTCAAATCAAGTAAATCTTCTCAGCACAGCTACATCACACGTTAAAACTATTTCCAATTCTTTCCCTCAGATCCATGTCTTATTACAATCACTGAAAAGTGACTTTACCTAAAAACATACATCAAAGTAAATGCTTAGAAAGTGGCCACCATGCTGCACACTTCAGGGACATATTGGGGAGATGCCCACAATCCCAGCTCTGGCAACACGGATACCCAGCAGGCAGCTGCTCCTCCCAACAGGCTTTCCACTGCAGCCACCTAGGAATGGAGACCAGGATCACATCTGCATCCACAGCCTGTTAACCACATGCTGGCAACACCGCCAAATATCCGACAGCACTGTCAGGCTCCTGGCACACTGAGGGTCAACTTCCAGCCATTTTCCCCTTTCCCACAGGTGCTCAGAAAAAGCAAACTGATCTCAGGATGCTGGAATCCATGGACCTGACATGGACCCTCACAAATCAGCAAGCTCTTTAATAAATAATGTCTAAATCTGCTGAGGCATCAGAACTGCTCCATCCTCATCCCTAAAAGGCTCCAGCTGCACAGAAAACACCAATAGTCCTTTAAAAGGCTCAGCCCCCTTCACAGGGAGGACACAGGTAGTTAACCACCACTCAGCTGATGAGGAGTTCATTAACCCACAGCTGTTTGATTGCTACCAGCTGCCTCACTCAGCCCCTGAACTCCAGAAGGGAGAGATTTCAATCCCTTTTTAAGGTCATAGTAGTTCCTTACTCCTTGTTTTAAAGAAGTGTTACTCTTTGAAGAAAAAATAATTTCACTGCAAGTGACATTTTGTCACAAAGTGATTTTGTGACAATGAACCCCACTATCAGCAACTACATCTGAAACCTGCTGCCTGGGCGAGAGGAATGGTCCAGGTAGCAACATACGTGCTACTGCTGGCTTTCACTTGTGTATGAACACTCCAGCACAGCCCTGAATGTGCCTCCAGAGCTCTCTTTCTTTCTGTAAAGCTCCCCAAACGCCTTCTGCAGTTCTGGAGCTCCTGGTCTCAAGAAGGTTCCAACCCTCAGCCCCAAAATCACACCCGAGCCCAAAAACATAGAGGGAGCAGAAGCCATCCTTTTCTCACCATCCCCGATGGGTCTGCTGCACTTGTCAGGGCAAACCTGGAGGGTGAAACACCTAAGCAAATGGTGCCTCCTTTCAAATAAAAGAGTGTGATGCCAGTTCTTCCCGTTCAAAACACAACCTCGAGCATGCAGCAGAAGCAAGACCCTGAGACACACCATCCTGCATGACTCAAACCCCATTTTCACATTCAGAGGTGGCCACAGAGACAAACAGGCTGCCTAGAAGGCAGAAGATGCAAATAAAAATCCCCCTATAGACACAGAAGAGCTGCATAGGCCCAACTTTCCACGCTCCCTAAATAAACATTGCGAGTATCAGACAACAAAAAGCCAGACAACAGCCACATCCTCTTCCCATGCTACTGTTCCCACTCAGTTATTCAAAAGATCAAGATAGACAGACCTACCTTCAGACCAGGAACGAAGTCTGTAGGTGAGGACGAAGCCAGACAGCACACTGCAGCCTGGAGAGACGACGTTTGAGCACACCCACTCAACCATGCCCAGCTGTGGGCCATATGGGCTGATTGAGGCATCCCACCCTGCCCAGGAGAGCTCCAAGGCACCTGGCCCTGCTCCAGCACCCAATCACCAAGCCACAACGTCTACCGAGGGACCACTTGGGGTGGCTGGTCCCACGTGTTTGAGATGGTGCTTTACCAAATCACCCTTCTTACCCAAAGTGGAAATAACATTTATCTCACTGTCTTGAGTGGTTATTTCTTTTCAGGTCTGTGGCCCACCAGGACCCTGGATGTTTTCTTGCTGCCTATGGAAGGTAATGGTTCCAGTGCAACAGATTGACCAGTTGTGTCCAAAGAGGGTTTCTACTCCTCCCAAAAGGCCCAGCTGCTCTTGATTTTTTTTTCCCAGTAATTTCCCTTGTCTCTAAGGACTGTAAATTGACAATTGGTTTACACAGAGCAGATAGGTATGTTTACAAAAGAACTAGATTATTTTGTAAATGAAATCCGGATGCAACAGAAAGCAAATGTCATAAGGAAGGTCCTTAAAAGTTATTTTTTGCATTAGTGTTCCAGCAGGTCAAGGTCTGGAAGCTAAAATTTCAGTAACCAGATGAGAGTAGAGCAAGACATTAAGCAACAGACCTTTGATTTTCCCCCAGATTGCTACATTATAACCCCCATCCAAAAAGATCATCCCTTTAAAACTAACTTTACTGAAATTCCCAGCACTGTGAGAAAGCTCCTGCTTTTTTTTTTGTTTAAGGTCGATCTACGTTCTGATGGGAACACGTTGCAAAGATAAACCCAGTGAAACTTCCTGCAGACAGTCACGCTGCATCACTGCTCGCAGCAGAGCTCTCTCCTCTGCTTACCCTCCCAGTATCTCAGAGATTAGCAAGAACCTATTTTTATATTTGCATCGACACGAGGGAGGAAGCACTGAGGCAGGCAGTGTTTGACCACCTGCAGGTACCGTGTTTCAGAAAGATGAGACTGTTTTCAAGCTGGCTGAAAAAAAAAATGAAGCTGCACTGCTACATCTGGCCCAGGAGCAGTAAGTAGTCCATAAAAAGAGAATTTTATTTGACTGCTCTGAAGTTGCGTAAAATGGCACTGCACTGCTGATTTGGAAAACAGGAACTGCTGCACAGCAGTTAATTTGAAATATATTTATAATCTAAATAATCTTAATGTCTTAAACATTGTTTGTATTTGAGATGTATTTTCCAAGATGAGGGGAAAGGAGGACAGGCTTTTATCACCCTTCGCAAGCTTGTACACATCTGTGCAGAGGGGCACAGAAAGGAGCAGGCTCCAGAGAGGGCAGGAGTCTGACACTACAGATGGTGTGTGTGAAATGCAGCTGGATGAAACTTGCTCCATTGTGGCCCAAACTTGCAAATCACAACTCTCTCCTTGGTTAGCGGTCTGCTCGTCAGACTTCTTCCAAAACCTGGCTTTTATTATTATTAAAAAGCACACAAGTGTTGATTTCGTGCCACGTATCTTTTTTAAGCAGAGTAATTTCTCTCTTATTCAGAACCAGAACATGCATGTTGTCGATTTTTTTCAATCTTTGTGTAATTCTGTATCTCAGGAAGGCTGCACTGCAATATGATGAATAAAGGATACGGAAAAAGCCATATCCACTCTGACTCCTCTGCGCGTTCCTGGACTCTCCAGGCCCAGGCAGTAGTGCCCTCTGCGGGACGTACCCATCCCACTGCAGAGGTTTCCAAATCCTTGTCACCACCTACCCCAGGAAGAACAGCTCAGGTATCAACTCTTGAGGCAGAGCCCATGGTTTTGAACTCGATTACAAATTCCAGCTTTCCTTGTTCATGCCCAGAGCCACACACCCACCTCTTCAACAGTCCCACACCGCGGCTGGGGTTACTACAACCTACTGCCACTTCTGTATTTAACCAAGTTTGTAGCAGCTGCCAGAGAAAGCATCAGTTGTGATTGCTGATGAGACCTAGTAAATGAGTATTACAGTGACGAGATAATTGACTGGCCACCTCTCCTCTCTAAATGGACTATTGAGAACTAACTACAAAGGTAACCTAGCCTCAAATTTCACATAAACTTATATACTCCAATTTGCTTCAAATCGTATTTCTTAGGATACACGTAGCACCGCCATTTAAAAAAGTTTACTTCTAACTACTAAATTAAGGCAGTATTTAGCCACTCTGTGCAAATTTCCTGAACAGAATGTCAACTTTACCAGTCAGCTCTGAAGAAGCAAATAAACAATTGCCAGAGGGGAAGGCAATTATCAGTCTTAAGAACATTCCAGTGCAGGTTTTGGTACTTCAAGGTACCACATGGAGTGTGGCAGGTTGGTCTTTATATTATTAAAGCAAATCAACTCCCATTACTAAAGGTCAAGAGATAAGGAAGGTGATAATTGTAAAAGATTTTACTAATAGAGAAAAGATGAACCATATGAGCAAAAAAACTCTAAAACATACAACTTGGCAGTATTTTGCAAATATAAAGTATTAAGCGGAATTTTATAAAAAAAAGGAGCAAAAGGGCTTTTGATTTCAACAGATTGGCAATGTAATTCTCAAATACATTGCATGAATTAATAGTAACAAACAGGACTCCCATTTTTGCTTTGTTCAGAGCCCTGCCAAGGCCAGAGGAACAGAGCCAGACTGCACGTGTGCTATGCTCCCAGAAAAAAACAACCTATAAGCAACCACAGCTGTTAAGAAGAATTTTTACACTGGAAGTTATTCAGGCTCTTTGAATCCATTAGACTTTGTTTTTAAACAAAATTCAGTTTACATGGATACAATAAATAGTTTATTAATGGAATGTATGCAAGTTTCTCACTTCCATCCTTCCTCTTACTCTCAGCACCTTACACACAGATGTCAAAGCAGCTTCCAGTCCAAGCCAAGGAGAAAAGTTAATTTCAAGGCAAAACGAAGAAAGGTTGAAAGTTAAGACTGGCACCTTTGAGTGCCCAGTTCCTCAAGTGTTTGTCTGGTTTCCCAAACCTACAGGCAAATTAGTGTTTCTTCTTTCCACACCTTGATCCACCTGCCCCTTCCTGACTCGTGCTCATTTAAGCTCTTCTTATGCAGGTCACATTCTCCATGGGGACAGTCTGACAGTCACGCCGGCTCGAACGCTCTTCCAGCTATTGCAATATCCCTTTATTATTTTATGTAAAAGCCCTATCATTATTGTGCCATCTCTTTCTGATCTTTTGTAATAGTTCAGTTTGAGTTTTACAAAAATGGAAAGAGTCTTTTTTTCAAAATATAGAGCACCGTGGCCAGGAATAAGGCAAGGGCGAGAAAGATCAGCAGCTTGTCCGTCAGTTCCCTGCGATTGTACTTCGTTATCAGCTTTCGCCCCAATTGAATCGTCCCAGACATGGACTTAAATTCTTCATTTGCTTCCAGGATGGTACGTGAAGAATTGGCTGAAATTAAGGGGGAAAAAAATAAATATCAGCTTGTTGCGCTTCAAAGATACATGACCAAGGATATAAGCATGCAATATTTGGCAATACATGTAGTGCTTGTGAGATGCTTCTGGGTCAGACTGACTTATGGGTAAGGTAAATACAGACTCTGTTCTTGCAGAAGCTTTCACAACAAATAAGTCCTGATGAGCAAAGGAAAAATACAAAACAAAATAAGAGCATTGAATTAACAGCATTAATGTCCTGTTCATGAATTTTTAATTTTTAGGTTACCAGTTCAAATGTAGTTCACATTTTTTATGAATAAAACCAGTGCTACCTGAGAGCTCGCTGGAAGCAGAGTGAAGTAAGAATGGTGCTAGAACCACCAATTTAAGAGAGAGAAATCACCATCATTATCAGCATCAGCTCTAGCAGCAGGAGGACAGGTCAATTTTTGAATACTTTGATTGTACAAATGAAAGTGTTCCCCCAAACTGCAACAGCAAATCAGTGTGATTCAGATGGGGCTGCAGAAAGTGAAAAAGCAGCATGCAGCAGAAAGACACCCTTAATTATTCAGCTCAAACAATCTGAGCAGTTTTTAAGTTATTTTTGACAAACGTAATTCTTCCTAACAAAAAAGAGAAAATCAACTAGAGGAAAAGTGTGCTGATTGATCTCAACTAAAGAAAGAATTTGAGAGTATGCCAACAAAGCAAGATGGAACGTAAGTCCCTTTCAAATTCTCTTTCCCTGTGAGAAAACAAACAAGCAAACAAACAAATGCCCCAAACTCCTCAGCCTTCCTCCTTCCAAATTACTAAATGAAAGCAAAAGCCCAGGAGTCCCCTTTTTCTTATATTTCAGAACTCATGTCCTGTACAACAGTGAGTGCTGGTGTAACACTCTATACTGAACTGATTGAGTAAAGGAAGGTCAAACTCCAAGCACTTCTGGTTCAGGAAAACAAGCATAGTAGAAATACGTCTGTAATATTTTGCAAACCATTACATCCCATCTTAACGAGGCATTCTGATCAAAGTGGAACTAGAAAATGTGTTTCCCATCATTAAATACAAAGCAGAGCTTCCCTGCTTCACAGCTGCATTTATTCACTGCATACTAGGAAAAGACTTGCTCAGAAAACAGGGAATTCTAACCACTGATTCAGAATTTGCAGCTGGGTTTTGTAAATGACCTTTTGATAGTTTTTCCCTTGATGAACTCCAAGCGCTGTTCAGTCAGAAGCAGGGTGAAAGTGTCTGCCAAACTGTCTTTTTAACAGGAGAAGAAACATGCAACTTTTGCATGAACAAACCGTGGTCAGCTGCCATCCTCAGATGGGGGCAAAAACAAGGAGGGCAAAAGTTGTGTCATTTATCCTCATCTTTAAACTGTTCTCTCTTCTGCCCAAAAGCACAGGCAGTAAGAGGCCCAGGCAACACAGCTCCAACTTGTAAATGCTTCATGAATCACCAGTTGTGACAGGTCACTTGATTTATTGTCTTAGGAGTCTAAGCCAAAGAACTGGGTGAAATCTTGGTTTCACAGTCCCTGATGCACCGCTGACAGAGCAAGTGACCTCGGGTTCAAGTCACTTGATCTCCTCGTCTCTTAGCCATCCCAGCTGGAGACTGGGTGAAAACAGTGTTCCAGCCACACAAAGTGTCCCCTGTGTATGGACTTGTACCTCTGCTTTCATTTTCTCTGCCATTGCCAAACTCGTGCAAGCACAGTAGCACAGAGTAACACCACATGTGCTCTTAACACTGTGTGAACTCACATTCCTTTTACAACTCGTTTTATGTGAAACTAACCCAAAAGCTCCTCATCCTGCCCCCTTTCCTGTTCATAATCATGAAACAAAAACTCCAACAAACAGCTCCATGCAGCATACGTTATTCCTCTCTTTTTGTCCAACCATTAGAGGAGCTCTGCTGGGCAGTCCTTCAATTATCACTGTAGTACATTCTCCTACAGCAAAGCAGGTTTCCATTATGCTCCACACCATGTCAGTTTGCCTCTCCTCATCCTAATATAACTGGGGAAAGGTGCTTCAATCATCCAATCCATACCCAAACACCCAAATAACACCTGTACCTAGGGTCTGCACGGTCTCCTCACTCTGCTGGACTTGCTGGGACATCATCCTGCTAATGCTCATCAGACTCTCCGTGATGTTACTTGCACTCTCAGCCAGACTTTCTTTTGTAGTCTTCCTGAAAAAGAAAGGGAAAAAGTAAAGCAGGAAGGGATAAAATTATGTCTTTAGGTACTGTAGGGATAATGCTGCTGCCAGGGAGCTTAGAACAGAGCTTGGCAGCAAACATCTCTGCCAATATACAAGACATGACTAGTTTTTAGTACACGAGAAATTCAGATTATTTTTACTAAATAGTAAAAAAAAAAAATAAAAAAATATTAAAGTCATGAGCCAAAACATCTGCTAGTGGCTCAGAATCTCACTGGGGGCTATATTTCACCACTTATTCATCCATGACTGTACAACTTCATAAGCATCAGGAACCACTGATATCCAGGATGATAAAGTGATAGTTTGTATCCTATTTGTTGGGACGTTACTTCATGATACTAAATACAGGAATTTTTCAATATAGAAACTATATAAGCTTACATCCTGCTCTGCACGTGAAAACAGCTTGAGTAACAGTCCAGTAATTGTTCATAACCCTGAGTGGAATTAATGTAGAAGATGGTGAGAAAAACTATGAAGGCTAACTTACCCCCTTTTCCATTTAGACATGCCAATGCTAGAAAACCTGAAATTATCAAAATCCTTAACAGTTTAAACCTCCACGAAAGGTAAATGCACTCAAAGAAAAGCTTTGTTCCAGATACAATTAAGTAACTTAAAAACATTGCATCACTTCCATTTAAAACTAGTGAATATAGCACACACTGTTTAAACTCAGATGGTACAGTGGGATGATCTAATACCTTTGTCTTAAGGAGTCTCTTCCATGCAGCAGTTGATCTTTCTCAGAGTTGTCGATAGCAATTTTGCAAGCCAGATTTGCCTTTCTCCAAGCTGCCTGATTGCTGAAATCGCAAGAGTACAACGTTGTAACATGACAGTAACATCTCTGAATCAAAAACAGTCTTCACAAGGCAATCCCCACTGTAAATGAGAACCCCAGATACGTGCAGGGACTTCCTCTATATTACACCTCAGAATAACAACATACTGTCCTGTGATTTCTTCTCCTAAGTCTATCAGTTATGGAGCAAGGGAAGAAGAAAACTGTCCCAGCTGTCAAATGACTGACAGACTCTCAAGCCACCTACTTACATGCTCAACTGCTCAAAGGAACAAACTATGCTCTGGGAGTCAGGACGGGAGAGAGGAAAGAAGAAGGGAGTCCTACCCTTTCCACCCCTGATCTTCTCTTGGTCTTGGGCAAAACAGCATCTTGTCAGCGACTATATTTGCAAAACAGGATCCGAAAGATGCTGTACGTAAATCAGATTATCTCTGGTTACCGGGAATCTGTAAACAGCACTGGCTGCCCGACCCACCTGAGCATTTGTTTCTTATGGTTTTCCACTTCCCGCAGTAAGGCCTGTTTCTCCGACTCTTTATCTTGCTCCTTCGCCATCTGTTCCAGCTCCTTTGGCGGAAAGCAGAAACACGAAAATCTGACCAACCACTGCTGCCACCTGCAACTCGCACAGCCCACCGCCGGCCGGGGAGTGAATTAACGGGAGATTGATCCCATAAACCAGCACCCCGCAGCCGGGGAATACTGATCCGACAAACCAGCACCCCACAGCCGGAACCCCCCCGCCGCCCCTCACCTCAGGGAGCCCGGCCACCGGGGCGGCCCCCGGCCGGGAGCCTCACCTGGATGCGGCCGCGGAGGTGGTGGAACTTCTCCTTCACGGCGGCGTTGAGCTCCGTGAGGGCGCTGAGCGGCCCCGGGCAGTCCCGGATGTCCTGGAAGACAAGGGCCCTGTCAGCGCGGCCCGCCGCCGCCATCGCCCGGCCCCAGCCCGGCCGGGGCTCCCCGCGGACCCCTCGCAGCCCTGGCAGGGGACACCCGCCGCGGAGGCGGGCGGCGGTACCTGCACGGCCGCCTTGATCTCCAGGTCGAACTTGACGATCTCCTGGTGGCAGACCCGCACCGGCACTGAGGCGGCCGCCGCCATCTTGGGAGGGAAGAGGAGGGGAGGCCGCGGCCCGGCGGGCGGGCGCCCCCTGCGGGCCCTGAGGAGAAGGGAGGCGGCCGGGCCCGGTACCGCCCGCTGCGGCGAGTGCCCACCGTGGCGGGCTGAGGGCCCGGGTGCTGTGGCGGGGGGCTGTTCGGTTCAACAGGGCGGGCGTGTGCTGAAGAGAGCGAACCGTGTTCCCTCAGACCGGTAAGGTCTCTGAGCCGCCGCAGCGGGGAGGAGCGCGGGCGCGTGAGGAGGCTGGGGCGGGGGGGCTGAGGCGCCTTCTGTGCCCCCTGGGAGGAGGAAAGGGGAGGTAACGCGATGAGCCTTCTGCCTTTTCCACAAACTCCTGCCGTGTCTTTGTCCCCCTGCCCTCAGACCGTGCTGTGTGACAAAGCCAGCACGTGTTGAAGGTGGAGACCACCATGGCCATGGCAGAGGACCTGGGGGTGGGCTGCAGCCCATCTTCTCCTGATGGTCCCACCATTGACCCATCAGCCTTGAGAGGCCGGTGAGGGCGCGGACCAGGGGGGGAAAATGATAGGGGACTAGTAATAGTAGAATCTCACAAATTGTACTTAACTAATCTCAAGAAATGTCCTTGTTCTTTTAAGAAACATTCATAAAACAAAGTCACCAGGAGACTGAGGGCATTTACTCTGAGGGAGCCCATGCCATTCGCTACCGCTCCAGACAGACTGTGATTCCAGACAGTATTTTCTCCACAATTTTTATTTTAAATTACAAAGGATGTTGCATACATTGATGAATTTGTATCTGAATAGAAGTGCTAGGGATTGAGGGTGACAGAGTAAACAAAGTCAATAGTTTAATTGTGCCTCTTTTCAAAAAAATAAAAACTGCACAACTATTAACCAACATTAAACATTGCAACTCTTAACAGATCATGCTTTTAACAAGGTAAATTTATTTTTAAACAGAGACAAGACTTTCAGTAAGTTTTTCTGAGCTCCAGTTGGAAGTTGATTATAGAATATCAAGGACAGCATTACAATCATGACCCCAAGCGTAGGCAGAACAGGATGCCATGTTTTGTTTAAAATGTATTTTTTTGTTGCTTGTCAACCACCAATGTCCGCATGTGCCATCAGCCTTAAGAGTTCACCCAACCACAAATACTGAGCAGCAAGTTTTACTTGGACATAATATTCTGGGAGCACAGATGACTCAAATCAGAATGTGTGAATAGCCATCATTAGAAGAAAAGTTCATAAAATTAAGCGGTACCACTGGGTTCTGTTTCTTAATCAGAAGATTTTGATAGGGTGGAGTGTGCTTTTGCCAATATCAAATCCAATCCAGAAGTTTTCTTTACAGTAGCTAGGTAACTCACCCAAAATTGACTTAGACAGATACCCGACTACAAAATACTCGTAACTCAAGAAAAACTCTGAACGCTGATGAATATCTAAAAAGTTTGGAGGTTTTTTTAATTAAAAAACCCCAGAAAAGTGTGGCTTAAAATAGCTCTGTCTCCACTTTTAGCTCCACAGCTCATTAGAAAGACAATAAATGCATAGTCAGTATTTGCTCTTGTGGAAGGAAGTTCATGAATGTCTAAGAGGCTGAGGGTTATAATTCAGTGAGCACACACTTTATCACACTAGAAGCCTTGAGGGAAAAAACATGGCATATTGTGAAATGTAAATTGTAGAAAGATAGAGACATTTTTGTATGCTGCAAAGAAGATATAACCTAAAAGTGCCATCTTTCATTAATGACATTGAAGAATCCCAATTTATATTAGGAGATAATAAAGAGTGGTGTTTTCTCAACATACTAATGCCCTTAATACAGTTACAAGAAGAATCAGTCACTCAAGCAGTAACTGTTTGAAATGTACTTCAAACGATCCCTGGGGTAAACAAAATAAACCTCAGCTGTGTGCAAGGCTGTGCCAATGAGCCAAGACCACATCTAGCAGCACACTTCACTAGATGATTCCAACTGAAGCCTCCAACTTAAAATAAAATCATGATTAGATGCATTCTTGAAATTCAGGTCTCAAGGCCAAATACAGATCCTAACATTCATGGTACATAATTGGGTTATGCCTCAACAGAATTTCAGGAAGACTAGCAAGCACGTTTGAGGAACAGAATTGCATTTGCTATTTCTGCTGAAGGCAACTTGTATACAACCCTTTGAAATTCTCCTGATAAAGCCTTTTAGAGCTTTAAAAAAATAGCTATGATTAAATGATTTATGGAAAAGAAAAGCACATCCACTATTTATATTTTGTGAATAAGCTAACTGTTTTATTAATGAAGGCAAATATCAGATAAATATTTGGGGGGTAATTTTAAAAAAATAAAAACTGACACCACTGTATTTCACAAGTGTCTGGTTGCTTTTAGGTTAGTTAAAAGACTCTTCATTCATTTTAGGTTTGGGGTTTTTTGTGGTTTGTTTTTTTTTTTTAAAAAAAAACAAACCAACTTTTTTCCTGGCCCTCTTAGTATGGAAAAAAAGTCTATCTATAAAGAATTAGGAACTGAACACAGCTGAGCCTGATTCTCACATCAGCTTTACAGCAATGCAACTTCATTAAATCACAATGATTTCAACTGGTATGATAAGAAAATCCAGCCCATCCACACGTAAACATAGCTTTAGTAGTAAGTCTCTCTCATTCAAAAAAAAGTACTCACCAAGTATCAGTAAATGTGTTCAATAAACCATAAAAGGAAGCGTTAGCAAAAGGGGTTTAGGGCTAAAAAACACCCTTCGTGAGCACCCCCACATTTTGCAAGGCCATTCAAAAACTGGTCTTCCATATAAATACAAAAGGACAACTACTGGGAGAAACTGAAATCAGATCTATCCAGACTTTCTTGAGGATGCCTCTATCAGTTCTGATTCAATTTCAGAAGGGTTAGGTTTGAAGAGTTCGGAGGGAACGAAAAACAATTAGTTCTAGATGTACAAGTAAGGCACAATATAAAGCCACATCATCATCTGTCATGAAGGAAGTAGGAAAGGACAAGAATCATACATGGTACAGCAGAACAAGCAGTCCATCGATTCAAAGTGTGGCACCTAAGTTCAGACTGACGAGATCTCAACAAGAGCAGTTATGACAGCATGCTTTTAATATGGAAACAAATTCTAGAGAATCCAGTGTATCAGAAAAAGGAAGAGCTTTTGTTTGTATTAAATCAAAAATGTATAATTGTTTTTGGATATAGGATTAAAAGTGAATATTCACAATGCCTACACTCAAAAACAAACAAAAAAAAATCCAGGACTTCATTAAGATCCACATACCATGTATGAACACTGAAAATCTTTAGAAAATGGTCTTCTCTAAAGATCATCCAAAAATGCATGCCACAATTGCCAAAAAACAGAACATGTACATTTGTTGGTTTTTATACCCTTATAAGATTTTTGTTTGTGATAAGTATACACTAAATGTATATATTTTAATGACACTAGAGGAAGCAGATTGTTACTGGCATTAAAGTACAACCATTTCTAGACGGTTTAAATGCCACAGAGTCCCCTGGTTAAAATGTAAAGCTGCACAGCTTGCCTATGTCACCTTTATGATAAAGTTAAACCAGCAAAAGGTCTTATCTTTACTCTACATTTTACTGCCAGGTTTTATTTATATCAAGTATCGCTGCAGCATTCTGACCAGCCCAGAGTTAGCAGCAAGTGGCAGGAATCATATAAAACGCAGTTTCTTTTTTTTTTTGTTGTTTTTTTTTTTAAACAAAGTGCTTTTCTAAGATATACATACATATAAATAGGTACAAAATAAAGTGTCAACATTAAAAAGCTCAACTATTTAAAAGCTTTAACTTAACATAATACATAGAAAACACTGAAATGCAGGGGTATGGAATTCACTAAGGATTCAACGTCTACTTTGAAATGCTAGACCAAAATCATATTCTGGTTTTCAGACAAAAATAAAAAGCTATAAAGTTGTATTTGCCCAGTATTTCTGAGCAGTAAAAAAAGGGGCTTTTCAATACCTTGTCAGTTTAATTTGTCACAAAAGTTTTTACCCAATTGCAAAACTGCTCTCTTACAAGTTTAGAAATGCTGCCTCGGCGACCGTTTGGGCATCGCGTGAGGAGCTCCTGTATCCGAACAGTGCAGTAACACCGTTCGTCTGAAAGGAACAACAGTATTCAAATCTTGGTACAGACGTGGCCTGGACAAGAGACATTCTTTGTCGGGGTTTTATGGGCCATATGCATCTCCAGAATAACTGCAACCTCGGCAATAATTACAACAGGAATACATCTGACCCACTGTATAAAGCAGCAGCCAACTCTCACCTCACCCTAACAACAACAACAAAAACACCCACATTCCACTCAGATTTTGCAAGTCTGAAGTGGATTTACAAAGTTTCGCCTAAATTGCCCTGGGTATTTGTTCAGTCTCTTGTAGGAAAGACTTTCTGTACAGCTCAGTAGTGGTATTTTGGCCTCCTCCTCCCTTTTGAGCCTTCCAAAGTATTTAGGTACAAAGTAAGCTGTGTGCACACTCAGAAGTACGTGGCAGGACTGCCACCTTCATCAGCCACTCTTACTGCACTATTACCGATTCAGACTTTTTTTTTTTATAGTACAAGCTTGGATATAAAAATAATCTACTTATAAACAAAAAAGGAATCACAGTACAAACAAACTTAGACAAACTAGAAATGAAGTGGAGAAATTCCCCAAAGGGAGTGGGGAGAAAGCCTTCATGGACTTTTGCATTTTTTTTCAGCAGCTACATTTGAAAATATTTGGTATTTCTATTTTCAGTAAACAGTGTTCTGTCATCTTTAAATAGGGAGAGAAAGAACAGGGAGGAAAAGGAGGGGGGGGGGTCCATGAAACCAGAGAATGATCTTGCCTTGAGATAAAGGATTTTCTCATCAAAGGCTAAAGCTTTTAATCTGTACGTTAACACTGACTACAAAGCCAACTCTTATTTAGCAGAAGAGCAAATAAGAACTGTGTGTTAATATTCTTCAATCATAGAAACTACTGAATTAACAAGAATAAGTCACATATAAGTTTGAAGAAGCTAGTTTCGAAATA